CGTCTGAGCCACCAGAGGAGCCCAACAATACTGGAGTGTGTAGCCTCTCCCTTTCTCCAGGGGATCTTCCCGACCCAGGAATAGAACCGGGGTCTCCGGTACTGCAGGCAGACTCTTTACCAGCTGCTATCTGGGAAGCCCCAACAGGGAGGAAGAAAAAAAGGTAAATATGAGAATGTTTTAAAATGGGAAACTATGGCACTCTGGGAGGGCTGAAGTTCCTTCATTTCATCCTCAAGTAAGTATTAAATCACACTGCATGAAAAATTACTTTTTAATAGTCAAGTTCAGAGAACTTTTAAATCTTAAAAAACTTTTAAAGGCATACAAAGACTTCTAGCAGGCTACTGGTATATAACTACTGATCATACAGTCTGACTTTTAAGCAAACAGTGGCACTCTAAAGTATGGAAAGAGGCTACTTTTAATGTTCTCAGAAGAGTGCATTTTAAATATCTGCAAAATAACTCACCATGACTTCTAAGGAAGGAAATTCATAAATGTTATTCTTAACATGATACATAAAGCTGAGAAAAATGTATTTAAGTATGATATGAGAAAAATATATTTAAATATGATTTTGAAACATTTTATCATTATCCAAGTTCCATGCTTCAGAATTATTTCACGTTAGGCTGATATGTTCTTCTATTTAACTACGAAAATATACTTAGTTAAAAATTTTAAATAATAATTTGGAGCAGATTCCTAACATTAGTGCAGATCCATAGTTCAAGCCCCAAATTAAATGAGGCACAAAAGGCATACAATCTCTAAAAATAATAACTTTAACGAAAGCCTACTGTATGACTTAAAATATTAACATTAGGTCATAGACGGACTCCAAATTGTTATTCCCTGCCATTCTCCAAATGGACCTTAACATCTCTAACTTCTATGCTTTTTCTACCCTCCATCCAACTTATTCCTCAAGAGTTAGCTCAGGTTATATCCTTCAGTAAGCATGGCTGATTATACATGCAGTCTGAATTAATTCATCTGAGTTCTTCAGTGTATACTGCCACCAAAGCACTTGTCACACTGCAAAACAATTAACTACTGTTTGTCCCCTTCATGCAACAAACCATGAACTTACTGAAAGTAGGAAACTATATATTTATCTCTGTACCTTCACAGACAGGGACACACACAGCACTCAGTACAAGGTCTATGACATTAGTGAGTATGAAACTAGTTAGTAAGAAACACTTACATAACAAAATTTAAAGGTTAACTTAAAAACTATCTGCAAAATTGTGAAAGTCCTGAAGGCAGTGCTGTACAACACAAAACTGGAAACAGAGAAAGCCCAAATTTAACTGATGAAATTAACTCCAAATTCTAGGCATTACCCATGTCAGAGCACATCATTTCTACTTTACCTACAAGGCATTAGAAAAACTAAAAGAAAAAAGATTTATCTGTCAATGGTGAAATAACGAAACTTGCAGGATTTAAAAACTGTCTGAGGGCAGATAAGATGCTTAAATTGTGTGTTCACAGTGCTATGAACATTAGAAGACAGACATTCCAAAATACTTCATAGTAGTCTTTCAGGTTCATTTCACAGAGGGACAAATCATACCCTCTTTCAAGGTCACCTGTAATGTTTTAGTTTAAGCAGTATGTTTATTATTTCCAGTAAAAGAAACTTTAACTTTTTCTAGCGTGAACTACTTTCTGTGACCAAGTATGATCTTTACAAAAGCTGGAATGAGATACATAGTGTGAAATAATCTAATTAGTTCTTTAAATCTTGATAATGGGAACATCATATTTTCTCAAAAAGCACATATGTTACCAACATCTCAAAAGCTGAAGAGCCCTCTGCAATTAGAATATGCTTTTCATACATTAGAACTTTGATTTGCTGTGTTAAAGATGATGTGCTAAAGAACTGGGAACCAGGAGGAAATGCCAAAGACAGAAGAAACATTATGTTAAAATAATGCAACTACATGTTTCAGAACATAAATCAGTTTCTTAGACTCACTCATGCTCTTCTCTCCCTGTGCTGGTTGACACTGCATTTCAGAGCACTCCGATACTTGAAGTACACCACAGGTCAACTTGCGACAGAAATTTTTCATATTTTAAAAGTCAGAGTGGGTAGTAAGTAAAATACAAAATTTAACTACTGTGTTAAAAAAAAATTTCCAGAAAGACATACAGTACACAACTTTGATACAACGTAAAATTCAGAAGACAGGAATGGCAAACCTGACCTATATATTCTTTAGTCGGTAAAAGATTTAGCCTTCAATTATAATATGCCTAATGCTTAATGTGAAATACGTAATACAGGAAATATAAGTCAAATAATAAGCAAAAATAGCAACAAATTTATTTGCAGTACTCCTTTTTCAAGTATCACATAGAAGTACTTTATCATTCTGCTGCTAAATTACAGCCCATTTCTCATTTCTAATCCATCTATAACATAGTATTTACTAATTTTCCACGGGTCTTATTAGGAAATGTCAAAGTTTTGTATCTAAGTTTCCTCTAATTGATATCTTATAAGCCAGTTCAAGAACACCTCCACTAAGCCCAAGTTATAGACCTCAGAACTCACTGAAGGACTTGGGAGTCAGCTTGTTTTTCTGTTGTTGTTATTTTATTGTTTTGTGAGTGTTTTGGTCTTGTGAATTTTTTAAATTATCATAAGCATATATTCTATGCTTTTTCATTCATGAAAAATACACAAACGATATAGTAAACTAAATCATATGAAGACACAGTCTTTCATTTAATCTTCAACCTCCAAAGAAATTCATCCTTCTATCTGCATGCCCAGGTTAGTGTATATTTTTCAGTTAAAAAAAAAACCACAACAGATTCTGGTATCCTTTTCTCATATGATATTTAAACTCTAAAAACCATTTAAACTGTTTAAATACAAGTCTTACAGAAATACTAAATTACACAACAAATATTGATAATCCAGCATATTTTTAAAACAAATATGACTGCAATTTAACTGCCTGGATAACAAGGAATTTCAATTTTCACGCTTGCCCTCAAAATCCATACAGGTAAAGCAAGGCAAAAAAAATATATCAGCAGTTATTCAGAAGCCATCTTTGGGAGCATTCCACCTAGAATTCCAGTTTATTATCTCTCTTGAATATGAGAGAAGCCCTCTCCCAAGTCACTGAAGAAACAAAAAAAATTCAAAAAGTATAATTTCAGCAAGCATAACAAAAGAATTTATGATTTTAGTGTTCCTTTTGAAAAGTGAAATGTTTCAAATTTCTGACTGGTTTCTAGTTCACAAGTTGCTGTGTCTTACTTGTTACCGTTATCAAAACAGTTCTGATCAACTTTCTGCATATGGTAGCTTAAAAACTTGAAAAAAAAAAACCCTCAGCTGCAAGTTATTAATGTATTTCTTAACATCACTCTTTAATCCATTACCATTCATAACAAATAAAAGAGAAAATCTTAAAACAGTTGAAAAATTGTATTAACAATCAGAAATCAGAAAACAAATGCCAACCTATGATCAATGTGTTTTTCAAAAACTGAACAAACGCTGGGAAAAAGTAGTAACCTTAGAGATAGGCCATGTCCGTTATTTCCAAACTGGCATTTCAAGAATAGTTTTTTATGTCAGCTTTATGTTACATTTAAACCATTAGACAAAGCCTTTATTTTTCTGTGGTCTATTTTAAATGCATATGCATAATTAAATAAAACTTTTACAATGTACCTGAGGTCCAAATTAGTATTTAAAAGATTTAAAATACTCAGTCTAAGATCCTTATGCAGGTAGGGAACGGTCATTTACATAATTATTCCTAATAATTCTTGTCACTGTCACACAAAAAACATAAACACTTAACAAATTCAAACTATGAACTGTAAGCTTGCTGAATGTCACAAACTGTACACAATAGCTAAATCTCCTCAAATACATAGTAACAGTTACAAGGGCTACAGCATGTAAAGGTGAGGGTAGAGATTAGCAACTAATAAACTGAGGTCATGAAGACAATCTTTCAGGACTGATGCTGTAAAAAATACTCGGTGATACAAGTGTACTCTAAGATTAACAAAAACTTAACAAAAAATAGTTTTAGATACAACTATCCATTACTCTTGCGTACTGAGTAACAAGAAAGTGCTGACATTTACGAAGAAGTGTACAATACTGCACAGGTGTAAGCTTAGATATAGACTGGTGGTACTTATCATGAGGGAGGCAAATACTATACAGTCCACATCTGCAACCCAATTTTGCTTCAGCATCCCTAGAGACTTAGAAAACATTTTTGGGGCAGATTGCAAAACATTGCTTCCTCTTTTATTCTCATCACCCCCATTATGATACAAAGCAACAGACAAGAAAAATCAAATCACCAACTTAAAGTGCTGAAAGCTTAAACACACACTCAAAAGCATCTTCTTTCCAACTATTGAAACGGTATTCATTCCACCTGTTTGTAGATCCACACTAACACTATTACACAAACCCTCTGCTGATTTTTGAGGGAAAAAAAAAAAAGAAGGCAATTAATGGCTTGGAGTCATTCTTCTTCTACCTAGGAAAGGAGGGGAGGGAGGTGGTACAAAACAATGGATACTGAGGGGCTGGGGGAAAATCGTTTTGTCCCGAAGCCTCTAGCACTGGGGGGGGGGGGGGGGGGGAAGCGGGGAGAAGAGTACTTTTCCTCTACCCCTAAAAGCCTCCGCGGAAAAAGGTTGCCATTAGGCATGTCCAACAGAGCACTACTTGAATGCCTACAAGTCGCTTCACTAAGCAACACACCCAAAGCCGACTCACCACTCTTCACGGAACCGAGAGGAGCCGGTGAGCGCGGTGGGCTTTGGGGAAGGGGCGAGGAAAGACTCCACCCCGTATCACTACCGCTGCGCCAAGGCCCCCGCCAACGACTCGCACGCCCACGGGGCGCCCCGCAGCCTGGGCCCGGTGACCCCAGGAGCCTAGTGGAGCGAGCCTATCCTCCGGGCGCCCCCGGCCCCGGCTCTTGCGCCGGTTAGTCCTCGCCCGGGCGCTGTCCCGGCCGCCCGCCGCCACCGCAGGCCCGGCCCCCGGACACTGTCAGCCGGCCGGCTCGCTCTCCGTGCTCGGCTGCGGGCCCCGCAGGAGAGTCAGCTCCCAGGGCCCGGGCCTCCCGGCGACAGCACCCAGGAAAACGGCGGCGGCGGCGGCGCCTCTTAGGGCCCCGGCCCCTCGGGCCTCGCCCCGGCCCCGCCGGCTCGCGCCTGTCAGGACGCGCGGGGCCTCCCCCTACCGACCGACCGCCCGACGGACAGGAAGGAAGGCAAGAAGAACCAGCCAACAGGCACCCTCCCGCCTCGGCGGCCCCTGGTTACCGTCAGGAGCCCGGACTTCGCCATCCTCCTCGCTCGCCCTCCTTCCTCCTCCTCTTTGGAAGCGACGCTGCCCAACCGCCGCCCCCCGCCCGCCCCTCCCCCACTCGCCCCGCCCCACCCCGCCCGCCCCTCCACACACTCTCGCTCCTACCGCCCCGCCCCACCTCTCGAGTGCAGGCCCGTCAGTCGCCAGTGGAGAGAAACAGGCGGGGCCAGGGCAGCCAACGCTGCCCAATCAGAGAGACGCACTGTCGCCAGCGACGCTACCCAATCAGAGTGACGTATTGGCGCCAGCTTCCCTCTCTGCGCCCTTTTCCTTTCCTCTGCTCCAGGACGCCCTCTCTCCCGCCCACTGGGCGCCGCTGGCTAGCTGGGCCACAGAGAGAGCCTCCAGCAGGGTAGAGTGACAACTCTCAAGCGGAAGTTCCTGTTGACGCTAGGGCAGCCATAACTGATAATGGCAACGGGAGTTTCCTGGCCTCCCGTCTCCTGTGTGACGTAGTTTTCCCTTCGCCCAGACCCACAGTTGCCCTGGGCAACAATTGAGCCATCAGGGAAGAGAAGCATCCGTAAGTAGGCCCAAAAAAGGACCAAAGGTGACCAGACATCCCATGTAAAACTAGTTAATTCCTATTCCGGACTACCTTCCCGGTTGCGGGATTAGAGAGAGTAGGTTTCCCGGCCCTTATTTTGCTGGGACGTCTGGTCACTTACCTAGGTGGACAGGAGTTTAGGGCTCCGAAAATCCCTGTCTTGCCCGGAAGTTGCATTTGACACTTCTGAATGGGGTCAAGGCAGAAAGATAGGAATAGCTTGCGTCCCCCTTGCCCCAGGGAGTACCCATGTTGACAGGAGTCGAGAAGTGAGGTGAGTGCCCCTTGGTTCCGAACCGTGGGTCAGATCCGAGCGGGCCCCAGGGCCCTTGGAGACCGAGAGTCCCGGAGGAGAGCAAGGCTCAGAGTCGCTTCCGCTGGAAGAAGGTTTTCTTTCCGGGCAGACCAGGCGACGGCCCGCCCTCCCTCCGCCCCTTTGAGGCTCCCTCTGGGGCGAGGCCGCTCAACCGGCTCCGCTCGCCTAGCTGCAGCAAGTCGAGACGGGAGAGGCCTGGGTGCGGGCCGCCGGGCGGAGCCCCTAACTCTGACAAAGTGGAGCTCCTGACCACGCCCCCGCAAATTCTGTTAAGTACTTTCACCCCCTGACCTTTGAGGATGGAGAATTCTGGAGCTTGAGGAAATCGTTTTACGTTCCCAGCTACAAAGGAAAAAGATGGTTACCCACCACCGCGGCAACACCTTAAGTCTTATTTCCCCACTTCCTGTCTTCATATTTTGAATTTTCTCCCTTTGTTTCTCTGGTGAGAGTTTGTAAGCACTGACTGCCATTCTGAAAGAAGGTATACTGTCCTCATCCTGCAAGTCTACGGTATATTAAACAATTTAATGTTTGTGAATATTCGTATCGTGTTGGTTTTACATGACTCTTTACCAGAAGTGTCTCACATTTATCTCATATAGTTCCTTCTGTAGGTTTGAGTCAACACCTGTCAGTCATCTTCGTAATACCGGGTTGGATACCTAAAACTGCGGGGAAAAAGGATCAGGAGAACTTTCAGGTAAACTGAAAATTGTTTATATTCGCTAGTCAACAAGAGTGCACACCTACATTCTTTGCTGAATTTCTTTTTATATTCTTAGTACTTATTCTCCAGCCAAAATCGACTATTCTTGTTTGTAACAAGATTAATCACTGAAGCACCAACCTTTTGTGATTCTGTATCCATGTCCTAGTAACCTTGGAAATGTGTGTCCAGATTTTCCCCAGCAGGAAGTAATTTCCTCTGAGCTTACCTAGCATTTTTCTGAACCTCTTTTATGACAACCATTGTTTTATATAACAGCTGCTTGTTTTCTTAGCTTCTCTGCCTTGCGTTCGTGCTAAGTTGCTTCAGTTGTGTCCAACTCTTTGTAACTGTATGGACTATAGCTGACCAGGCTCTTCTGTCCAGGCAAAAATACTGGAGTGGGTTGCCATGCCGTCCTCCAGGGGATCTTCCCAACCTAGGGATCAGACTCAGATCTCCTGCATTGGCAGGCGGGTTCTTGACCACCAGTGCCACCTGGAAAGCCCAATTTACTCCCAAATAGAGTGGTTTGTATCAGATTTATCAGCCTATTATTTTACCCTGCACATGATATTATTTTGATAAATACTGAAAGATTGAATATCCAGGTGTCTCCTGGATGCCCAGTATGCTTGCCAGCAACTTCGGTTTTAGGAAATTTCGGTTTATCAAAATTTCAGCATAGTTCCTGCTACTCAACATGATTTCTTCCCCCAATATTTTATCAAAGAAATATTCATACATTAAAAGTTTAAAGAATGCCACAAACATTCATATACCTATCACCTAGATCCAACAGTTGTTAACACTGTGCCATATTTATTTCATTTCTTTTCGCACACTTTGTCATTGAGACATTTGGAAATCGGTTGCAGGTGCCTGTTGTTAAGCAGACATCTCTAAAATTCCCAACATGTATTTCCTAAGAATTCTAAAGTTCTCCTGGAAAACATAATATCATTATCACATTTAAGGAAGTTAATAATTCTGTAGTCTTTAGAATCCAGTCTGTATGTACATATGTTTTCCCATTTGACCCAAAAATGTCTTCTGTACCTTCTCCTCCTCGCAAAAAAACAAAACTCAAGATCCAGTCATGGTTTATGTACTATATTTCAGTATTATAACTATTTAGCCTTAATCTAGAACAGTCCCCCATTTTTTCTTGTCGTGTGACATTGTCATTTTGAAAAGTTCAGGCCAAGGGTCTTTTTGACTGTCTCCTTTTTCTTATTTCCCATACATCAGAAGTTGGTCTGGAGGCGTGCTTACATTCAATTTAACATTTTTTTGCAAGGCTACTTCAAAGTAAGAAAACTAAAAGTTTTCATCCTTTTCCAATCATGATTAAATCTTCCCAAATGCAGCTACTCTTACCCATACCATGAACTGCTCGTTAAATCCATCGCAGTTCTCAGCATACCACTTTCTATCATGTCCTACAAAGAAGAGTTTAGCATTTAATCCTCCTGTCTGTGTAGACTATTAGTACCCAGCACTGGCAACATAGACTGTCTCAGTTCAGTTCAGTCGCTCAGTTGTGTACAACTCTGCAACCCTGTGGACTGCAGCACCACAGGCTTCCCTGTCCATCACCAACTCCTGGAGCTTGCTCAAACTCATGTCCATTGAGTCAGTGATGCCATCCAATGTAGAGTGTATTAGTACCCTGCACTAGCAACATAGACTACCTTTTAATAAATTGTGGCTGCTACTTTTTCTTCACTTGGAGCTGATGTAATGTCATCTAGAGCAGAGTGTACTGATGTCAGCATAGTTTCATGAGTTTCATCTCCTGGCACCCCAAGGACTGTTGATGAAAGGTGTTTGGGCCCTGCAGTTCAAATACAGATGAATCTTGATGTTATCAAAGCAGATACTGAGGCAAGTACTGGCCATGTGGCTACATTCCAATTTCAGCAGTGTTATTTTTCTCCCAGAAATTCTGCAAGTCTTAATTGGTCCTGGTGTTTCTGTGATAGCTTGTTGGTAGCATTCATCAGAGCCTATTAAAAATTGCAAAATCAAGATTATACTTAGCACTTAGTACATGAAGAACATTCTATGTTCAGTGGATATACAGATGTTTGTAGAATTTACTTCATGATCACAAGAGGAAAACTCCCAAGATGGCCAAGCTCATGTACTCCTCCTATCCTAAACTTATAGTTGATCATGAAAGATAAACAGAAGGAAGAAAATTCACTGAGAGGGCAGACACTCTTAGATTGATAGAATATTTTTAGTCTTTGCATTGGAAGTTAAGTAATGCACTCCATCAATCACTTATTTTGTGTAGGAGAAAATTTGCTCATGTGGGACTATGAAACAGTTTTAAGTTTATTCTAGATTCAAGTAAAGCTAAATAATATACCAATTAAGACCAAAGATTTTAGAATCAGACTTGTGTTTCAGGAACAGGGATATTCATTAGCTGATGACTTTGAACAGTTTACTCATTCTGTTTATCACCTATTATATAGAAGTGTAAAACCTCAGGATTGTTGAACATAATGAGTCAAACACATAAGATGCATTAGCATATTGTGTAGCACATGGTATATAGTCAGTGTATGGCAGTTATTATTGATAACTTCTAAAGCAGTCCAATCTGAGTATATTGTTGGCATTAAATATTTCTTTATTGAATGAATGAATCTAAGACAATGGTTCTCCAACTTTAATGTGGGCAACTTAAAAATTAGAGATTCTAATTCAGTGACTCTGATGAAGGCTCCAGAAAAATCTGTATTGTTAATAATCATCCAGGGGATTTTGATAAGGTGATCCAAGGGTCAGGCTTTCAGAAACACTGAGTAAAGTATCAAACAATTCTTTATTTCCCTTTCTTTGCATACTATTGAAGTAGCTACATATCTCTGATGCTGAGAATATAAAAGATATCTTTTTTTTAAAAAGGCTTAACCCTTTTTAAAGAGTTAATAGCTAATGTTCTTAGGACCACTTTTAGTACTAGATTTTGAAAAAGCAAAAATTATTAGTAAAAGGCATTTTGCATGAGAAGGACATGTCATTTTCTACTTAACAGTAGTGTCTGCTTCTGGAGAGTAACAGAACCAATGGCATCATCCAAATTCACTCATGAAGAGTAGTTCTGTTCTTAGACCTAGGCACGTTCCAGAAGCTAGACTCTGCACATATTATTCACATGAGTCTGGGTTAATTAGCCAAACTGAACATGTTGCAACATTTTTCTATTAGCAGATGCCAGATAGCAAAACAGAATCTGCTGTAGTTTCCAACTACATGACATATAATGTCATTTGGCATCTCCACTTGAACATTCTCAATCCAAATTAAGCACTCTGCTAGCATGTGGTCAGTCACTTGAGTGAGAGAAAGCATTACTACTTTGTATCTGTTGAAAAACACCTTCTTTGGG